CCCCAAAACCCCAAAACCCCAATCAAAATTGGAAATTTTCAATATTTTTGTTAAGATTATTAAATTTAACGAAATTAAATTCGCTATTAAGAAAATATCAATATTAAGAATAAAGTTTATTTAAGTCATTACTTCATTCATGAACAACAATAGCTGTTGGTTTTTGGCTCTAACCCAATCTGTATGTTTCATCAAGTCTCTCTAATATCATATCCTCATATCTCTTCTAATAATTTCTGAACTATCGAAGAACAATCAAATTTAAGAAGCAACCTAACGAAAAGAATATAATGGTGATTGCGCTTCTTGTAACCATGATGTTTTAGAAATTCTATATTGACCTTTCCTCTTCTTAAACTTAAATTGAATCATTACTCCCATACTATCTTTCGAATTAATTAGTAGCTTTATGAAGTACGTAAAATAATACACCTGATTACACAATGCTACTTGTCAATTGAATAATCACCATTAGTATAATGACGTCAAAGATATTTCTTGTCTTTCCTTAATCAGGCTTAAAAATATTGTGGCCATTACTAATCAATTTCTAGATGCTTACTACAGCCTTAATTGATATAAATAAGACCAATATACCCTCTACAAAAGTCATTGTATCCATTAATATCGAAACTCCAGCTAAGAGGAAGAATGTGTATTTATTGAGCTCAAACCTCAATCCCTAATCTTCTTCCTAATTAGACTCTTTATTTGGATCCCTTTTATCTGATTTAATGGTAAACTCATACTTGCCAGTATCTCTTGCCTTCCTCATTTCAACCAAATCATAGCTCAAAGCTGAGTAACCCAAGAGCATGATTAGCAAACCAAGTATTATAATTAATACAGCAAATCTCCTTGTCTTTACCTAATAACTGTAAATATCATCAGTCTAGTCCTCATCAAGTTTAGAAGCATTTAGTGAATTCACTCCGCTTGGAACTCCTTCATTATGTGATCTTGCTGAATCATAATTGCCTTCATTATCATCCTGATCCTTCCCATTATCTCTATCTATACTTTCATCGTGCTATTTGCTATAATCTTTGTTGTGAAAGCTTTTCATCATTTTTAAGTGTTTATTTTCTTTGATTATTTCCAATTTGGAACAATTTTTTTAATGTATATTTATATATAGATTCTTTGTTAGAAGGCCAATTATTTTCTTATTAATAATATTAATAAACTTAACTATATCGCTATACACTCTAATTTTACTTAGAGGGGTTTTGGGGTTTTGGGGTTTTGGGG